CATTGAAGAATGTGTCCAGCACCAGAAGCTGCGTTGGTTGGGACATGTTTTACGCATGCCGAACCATCGTTTGCCGAAGAGAGTACTGTTTCCCATGCCCAATTCGGAGTGGCGTAAACAGAGAGGTGGCCAACCCATGACCTAGCAGAGGAGTATCAAGGAGATCACGAAGCGCTTGGGTGCTGTCGGTGCTACTCGCCTTCCAGGATGGGGACCGCGTGATCCTCACTGTGCCTGGTTGGAGACACTACAAGATATGGCTGCCAACCATGTGAGTGGCGTTCTTGTTGTCAGTTTCTATCCAGATTCCCTGAGTGAATGTCTGGAGGTGTAGGCACCTCGGAATGATTGTGTTAAGTCCCTCCGCCATCCACCTTTTTTCTTTTCCTTACAATAAGGTTTTCAAATACGTCATGGTTGTACGGCAGTGGAGCGTCGGTGTTGAACACTGATGTCATGCTGTCGTTGATGATGATGATGATGATGATGATGATGATGAGCGTGAGGTTTCCCGGTGGTAAAGACGCGGGAGCTGGGGAGCTCCGGGGTTCGAATCCAGCCTCCCTATCTGAACTGCTCTTATTTAGGCTTGGGTAACTTGGTAGTACATCGGCCCTCGTACTTCTTTCGTGTGGCATGGTAGCCAGGCACCGAAATCGTAATACAGATGAAGGACTACACTTTTAACATGACGGTCGGGTTGTGAGCTATCGAGCAATGTTGACGTAATGTCACACCAGACTTCCTATATCAAAAGAATACTTTACCTTCAATCCAGCCAAAAGAAAAGTCGCCCAGTTGTGACATCATTTCGGTGCCTAGCTGCTATGCCACCCGAAGTATGCACGAGGCCTGAGATACTGTCAAGTTGCCCAGGCCTACACAGGAGCAATTGAGACGGTGAGGTCAGGTTCGAAACACGGACCTTTCGGTTAGAGTTCGCGCAAATAAGGGCCAGCGGGAACAACACAACTTTAATTGCATTCATTGGTTCGACTACAACCATATTTCTTCTGATTCCTAGTAGTCTTGTGGTAACATTTGGCACTGAAGTTAGAAGGTACGCAAGAATTTATGAAACAGAATCGGTAGTCATCGGCAACAACACACCAGTGGTAAGTACTAGGACCCAACTTTTACAAGCATGTAGAATGTTCTCGTGAAGAGTGGGGAAAGGACGGGAACTTAACACAGACGGTGATATGTGCCTACGATTAAGAGGACTGTCACGTGCTACCCATTTAACAATGCCTCTCTTGTAATCCTAGCTGTAGGCACGTTAGTCAGGCAGTTATGGAGTTGACACACTGCACGATAACCCTCGGCGTCCGCTTTTCAGCGGTCGTTCCATTTTTACTCCATTATTTAAAAGAGAACTTTTCAGTCAGATCGATCAACAAGCTACTCTTGCACCCACTCTAGAAAGAAAGAAAGAAAAGAAAGAAAGCGTTCAGCTGTAGCACCCTTCCGGTGCCTAGCTGCCATGCCACCCGAAGGAAGCACGAGGGCTGAGATACTGCCAGGTCGCCCAAGCCTAGCCAGGGGAAGTCGAGTGGCGGAGGTCGGATTCGAACCACGGACCTTCCGGTCAGTAAATTGCGCTCTAACCACTTGGGCCATCTCGCCCCCTACCCACTCTAGATACTTCACCAATGGACGTTTCCCGAATGTGAAACTCGAACACAGGATCCAATTGCAACTGCTGAGTTGACACTCTTTATACAGACGCTATAGACTGATGTTTGAGTGGTCTGGCTGCCGTATCGAGTTGCAGCGCTGTTGGTACGACACAGAACTTGCGAACCGAATCCTCACTGGTCGACGGGATATTTGTAAATAGCCGACTGTACTACCCCAATTCCCCTTTCGATAAAAACCGCACTGAGCGAAAGACTGAATACTATTTTTTGTAGTGTTCATTTATTCACCACTTATTCAATGAAAGACACCTACCGAGAACCGACCAGCCTTTTTACACCAAGAACACCGCAGAAGATTTCAACGCGCAGGTAGGACGTTTCATGCAGACGAAGCATGCCTTCGTCTGAACGTCTGTTGCAGCTTTGTACTGACCACCAGTTACTTTCCAACTGTACTGGCTTTAGACGGCATCTGTCAGTTCGATTCACGGGTTCGCGGATTAATACACAGGATCGAGGCTTTTGCCCAAGGTTCCCGGGTCGGTTTTGTTTTTGTCGTTCACCTGAAACGCCCAAGTGAAAAAGGGTGTGGCACCGCTCTATATGTTCTCAGTGCGGGGCAGCATGCTTGCCAGCTCGAGGACTCGCATAAGGGCGTGGGAATTAGATCCCCAAGGAGGCGACGGTTCTCCAGGGGAAAGAGGTCAAGCATCGCGAGACGCGTTTCGTACTCCACAGATTCGGGGCCAGCGACCATTTTCATAGCGGCTCGCTGGGCACGCTCAATAGGGGTGAAGTATTTCGTGCGTCCTGAGTAGACAACTTGGTTGGCGTATTCACGGAACGGCCTGACGTAGGCCTCATAGAGTATTTGGAAGTCCGTGGGAGTAATACGGGAGAAGGTGCGTCGGATCATCCGTAAAATGGCGAATGCCTTTTAGGCTGATTTCTCATGGTGCAGTGAGAAGACAAGGTTGAGGAGACCCAGATGCCCAAATCCTTTTTGGCATCTACCCTCATGATGTTTTCAGATCCCTTTTCATCATGCATAGCAAAGGCATTCGCTGAGCCTCCTCCAAACGACATATGGACGAATTTTTCGTCATTCAGAGGAAGGTGCCATTCAAACGACCACTGCTTAGCAGCATCTACATCCATTTTGAGTGCACTGGCATTGGAACTCCAGGATTTCAAGTCGTCCGCAAAAAGTAGACATGGAGTTGCAAGAACATCTGGAAGGTCGTTGACGTAGATCAGAAACAGCACTGGTCCCAGGACGGAGCCTTGAGGAACTCCAATGGAGACCGGCGCTCA